AAAGAGTGACAGGTGTCTCATAGAGGTCAAGGAAGGGCCTCTGGAGTTTTTCTGTTCTTTTAGGTAGGCAAGATAATTCCTCTAACGTCTCTATGTCCTTACACGTACTTGACTTTTTCCCTTCACTTGTATCCTGTAGAGCACTAAAACAATTGCATTTTGTACTATAGCCTCTCTTCCAATTTTGCAGCTCCTATCTCCTGACTTCAGACCAGTCTCTGCATTCTTAGCACTCTCTGTGTTCCTCTCTTAATCTGGTTCTCCTATCGTATCGTTAATTCTTCAGATTCCTGATAAATTCTGTCTCTTGTGAATTCTAAGGGTGCTTGAACAACACATTGCTGACCAGCATGGAGAGCTGCTTTACAGCAATATTTATGTGCATCTTGGCACATTCTGGTCAGATGAGCTTTGTTGTACCTGCAGCACTTCAGTGCAGAAAGCCTCCTGACCTCCCATTTAAGCCAATGCCATCTAAAGGCTAATCTGAACCCTCAAGATTCAGTCCCATGGGCATCCAGACAACTTGAGCACTGGGTTTAAATTCCTCAGTGCATGTGTAGTTGCTGTGTAAATGAATTGTGATGGTGCCTACAGGGCAATTATGCAATGACTATGATGTGTATCGTTTGTTTTTCTCCCTGCCTCAGTTTCCTTATCATCTTTCAATTCAGTGCATTTGTCTGAAAATATCTCCTATGCCAGGAGGTTTATTTGTAAAACACAGTCTAGTCTGTAGATGACCAATACTTCAGCGATGCGAGCTCTTTTTAGCAATAAATGTTTACCTTATTACGAATGTTTTAGTAATGTCCTAAGCAGTGTGACCCTCACAAGTTATGCCAGCATTGGGCATTTGAATCAATTTTCAGCTTTCCCCTCAATCATGTCTATTTAGGGAGCTGAAACTTGGCACTTCTTTAGCTTTCAGCATGGAATATTTAAAGACATGCACCATATAGCTGATCAGAGTGGGAAACTTGCTGTTCTGTGCAAGAGAAAGGTGTTTGACAGATCCACATTCTGTCATCAAACTAATTGAACAGCACTAGAGACTGATTGCTTGTGTACCCAGGTAATCCAGCCCAGCTGGGATTTCCAAATAATACAGAGCCTGGGTTTTATAACATAAGGGATTTTACTCTGGCAAGTAAATAAAAGCAAATTTTCTGCTATAAAAGGACAAAAGATTTTGAAAACATCCCATAGGGCTGTGTTTCCCAGACTTGTTTACTGGCAGCTGATCTTGGAGCTCAACCAGGGCTTTAAAAACTTCTTCCATTTTTGTAGCAGTGTGGGGAGCGTGTCAGATGAGGTTAGTAGCTTTCTGGTTCTATGACTAATGCCCAGAACACAGTTCAGAGAAGGGTGTCAGCAGCAGCAATTACTTTCTAAATTTCATCAGCAAACTATTAATCAGGATTAGGAGAGCTGTGTGGCTGATTTATCTTTCTGCAATTTAAGCCACTTCACTAATCGCTGCATCTTTCACAAATTTGCATGCTTCATCTCTTAATTTCCAGATGCTAGTAACATCAACCGCCTTCTCCTACAAGATTATGTAGAAGAAGAACTAGTGGGGAATATAAAAATGTGGTGCTGCTAAAATGAATGAAAGCCTTAGAAGAGCTGTTTGGTGGTATCTGTACAGTAACACAAATCTGAAATAATCTCATTAACTTGAATAAAGGAACAGATCAGAATACCCCTAACTCTCTATTTGCATAAAATACCATGAAGTTTCAGAATGCTGGATGATAAATTTGTGAGACTCAAAGTGTGTGCAAACAAAATTATTTACTCTGAGTTCATATACTTGCTTCAGTCAGAATTTTGTTTTAAAATTACATTTATAGAATGCGATATGCTAGACAGAACTGACTAATTTGGGGAAAACCAATTACATTTTCTTTATGCATATGGCCCTCAGGGCTCACTGTCTCTGTCAGAATTGGAAATCACAGATACAGAGTAAGTTATACATGTAAAAGACAGCCTGCATGCCCACCAGCTTTCCAGTGTCAGAAAAATCATGATATGAACGTTTTTGCATGATCTGACTCTGTTTCTCAGGCTGCTGCCTCTCAAGAGACTTTACTTCAGTTTAAGCCTGTTTAAGCTGAGTACTTCTTTATGAATGGGAACATGCACTGAGAGTTTTTCCCAGATTGTTTACTCTGAGTCAGCCATAGCAATTGACTGTTGCACTAGTAAAAAAATAACTTTTGCTACTGTTATATGGAGAAATATGTGACAAATTAACTTGAAAAAAAGTCGTTGAAGTAGTTGCAGTTGTTATGATTTCCCTTACTGATGGCAGATTAAAAATAGTGGGACAATCAGGAAAATATTTGTTTACTCCTCTGTTCTGTTGTTGCTTTCTGCTTCAGCTTCTTAAACAGAGTCTGGAATTCAGTAATGCCTTACATGTTTCAATTAAAAGTATCACGGAGAACTACCCTGAGATTGGCCTTAAGAGCCCTCAGCAAGCCAGGAGGTCTATTAGTACTGCAGTCTCAGGAGTATATAGTTGCGAAGCACTTCTTGATCCCTTTGCACACGGCAGCTCTGCCTCTGCAGATCCACAGCAGCAGATACTGGATCTATAAAGCAAGGAAGAACAGTGGTAGCTGAACTGAGGCAGCAGAACCAGTTCCCTCCCTAGAATTTCTACCATGTCAGCTGGGCAGTAGTAATAAGTGAGAGAGCAAAGACACCTACAGACAACTGTGCAGTAGGTGAAAAACCAGAGTTGACCAACAAGAGTTGCAGTAATAGAATTTCATTTGCTAAAAGAAAGGACAATAAATAGAACAACTTATGTGCATAGTAACCCAGTTGATGGATACGCTGGTGAAATAAAAGAGATGGAATAAACAAGTTCTGAGAAATCCCGGTTGTCAGTTTTCCTCCTATTAAGAATAACGAACTGAGACGCTCCTTGGACACACAGGATTACTGTCCCTGTACTCATGTCAGGTGACTTTTGATTCTGGAACAGTTGTTTTGTTTCCAGCTTTTCCATCTAGGCTTTTGCCTCTGGGTTACTTTCTTCCAATGCTTTCTCTTCCCAGAGAAGCAACAATCTGTATGTCCTCCTGAAGGACACGCAAGGACACAGCACATGCTAAAGCTGCTAAATGGATCAGAAGAATGATACGTGTATACACTCATCCCTTTTCACAGAGATTAATGAGCTGAAGCCATGCCAGAACAAAGCTCAGAGCACAACAGAGAGCTTTCCAAAAATTATTCTGTCCATGCTTCACTAGACCATTTTGGTTCAATAAGACATACTCAAAGTGTTTGTTAAATCAAAACTCATCTCTTCTTTGGTGTTCAGTTCAGCCCTCTAAAATGCTGGTAATACCAGCAAAAGAGGTAACTTCTTAGGTGAAATTGAATTTTTCAGTGCTAAGGATGAATGGCTGAAAGGAGAGGCAAGCAATTTAAGAAGGAAAGGAACAGCCATGGTGGGGTGAACTTGCTGTTACCAGGGCCCTGCCCAGCCCCCTGGGGCTCTGCCACTCTGCCCATGGCCCAGGACCCCGTGTCAGCCCTCGGGGCCTTCAGCCCCTGCCCCAATGATACTGCAGCAGGGCTGGTCTCCAGCTCCCCACAGCCCTGCCCTGCTCAGCCATAGGCCCCCTGAGCCAGGCCTACTGATGGTCCCACATCCTGGCCTGGCCTCAGTCGATCCCTTATCCCCAGGGAGGTGCCCAGTGCCCAGGGCTGGGCCTGCCTTGGTGCCCCCTGGCTGCCCAGCTCCTGTCTGGGGCAGTGGGAAGGGCCTTGGCTGCTCGGCCCTGCCCTGCCACCCTGGGAGAGCCCCCAGTGCTCCCAGTCCCCAGGGAGCCCCCAGCCTCTGTGGTGACCTGATGACTTTTCCTGCTGCTACCAGAGGAGCAATGGATGCTGGTGGGAAGCAACAGCTCTGTTCTAGGTTTCTCTTTTGGTGGCAGTGGCAGAAACCTGCACCGTTATCTGGGAGCAGACTCTTGGCTACAATAACTGATTGTGACCGTGCCATCTGGTCTTTATCATTCATTGACCAGATTGCTGGTGTTTCTGTCCTTCAGCTGATCTAACATGTTACTGCAATGAGGGAGTAGAAAAGGTGAGGACTTGATTGTCCGAAGGGCTGACTTCATGTTTTCTTTTCTTATCTGAAGCTATTTGCAAAGCTGTTGGAGCTCATAAATAACTCTGCCCTTTGTCTTCTGATTAGCTGGCACTCCATGCTTTCACAGCACCCAGGAGTCTGGAGCTGGCAACAGAGTGAGCTGTCTCTTTCTACAGCAGCTCCTCAAGGACTGGCCCATAGCTCTGGCCGTTATAGTAGGTGACTGCCCTTGTTGCAGCAAGCTCACAGGTTACAAATCAGGGCAGATAAAACATGGCAGAAAGGAAGTATTCTTGCTGGCATGACAGCTACTTTGCAAATGCAAAGGAACATTACCATCTGCCTCAGCTCTTAGATCCATCTACAGTGTTCAGTATCCTTGTTTTCTGCATAGTCACAAACATCCTCATGTAAGTATTTTTCCTCCTCACAAGTCTTCACTAATCATTCCTATACAACTGCTGAAATAGTAATTTGCATTTAGTTAACTCTGTGGTAGTTAACTTTCTTAATGTTAGATTCAGGGTGTTGGAGGTCTACATCCCCAATGAGAGGCAGAGCTGTGGCAGGCCCAGGAGGATGGGTTCTTAGGAAATATGTAGGAGTGGCAGCTTCTACCATGGCTGTTGCTCTCTCCCAAGAAGAGGGACTGCAAGACCAAGGCAGCAGCAGTGACTGGAAGATGGATGTCAAGAATGAACCCTAGGAATCACAGTGGCTCTCTGCACATCTTGCTGTTTTCCTTATATGTCTTTAATTTTCTGTTGACAGTTTTTCACAGGATTAGCAGCTTCAGTGCATCAATTTATGTTATGGGAACCATGTCCTCTGCCAGTAGCAAAACACAGCCGTTTTGACAGATGACTGTGTAGACCTTGCAGACTGTTACGTAAAACCAAGCACTCTTGCTGCCACAGGATTTTTGTGTTTGAGAAAGGAAGATATTTCATAAAGCAGGTTTTCAACCTAAGACTTTTTAGATTTCTCTCTGGAGGATTTTGCTAATTATCTGCTAGGGGCACAGATAGTCCAACCGGTTCCCTCCCTGATCAGTAGGTACTTCATGGAAACAAAACTTGCGAATTACTGGACTTGCTTTGTGCCTGGGGTTTCAATAATGTGCAACTAGACAGAAAGTGATAAGGTCGCAGCTAACAAACTTCAACCAAATTAGTAGTATTATGTCAGAGCAACGGACACATATTTGATGTCTCTCGAAGTTTCTGGAGTTTATTAACTTACGTAGTTGTCATCAGCATCTACTGAGTGTCAGATGTCTGGATCTTACTTTGTGTTAATTCTCATGCATGCTTCCTTGTGATTTTTTGGTAATCTGGGTTAGATACATACTGCCACAAAAGCTTGTTCTGAATTATCGAAAAGGAGAGGGCACTTGCTGATGTGACAAAGAACCTTCCCATGAAACAATCTTCTGTTAGAAAATACTGATTATATCGAAACTTTCTGCTGATTGATACATTCCAGTTTTATGCTTAGCTTCATAGAAATACTTCTGGTTAAGATATGTTGTCTGTTGCAGAGCAGCCTATTACTCCAAGTTGGCGTTGCGGCTTTGGACATGGGAAGTGCAAAAGCAAGTCTGTGCTCTTTTGAATTCAGATAATAGAGTGGAACTTGTGCCTTTCATATCTGATAGTATGTGCTAAATCCTGCAGTGTATTCCAAAATTGTTCTTAGGCTCCATTGATGCATCAATTTATTTCTATATATAAATATAAACCTAGGAAGAGATTTAGATTTTAGCATCCAAACATCTTTACCACTGAGGTGTATGAAGAAGTACAGAAAGGGGAAACACTGCTGTTCTCTGGTTTGGGTTTTTTTTCCAGAAGCATTTTTTCAGGCTCTTGGCTTTTTTGTCATGAGAGGTCATGAATATTCTGGAAGTCTTCATTCTTCATGGAATGGGAAAATTCTTTCTCTGGAGCTTGACAGATGAACATCTGCAGAGATAAAGAGATGCTGTTGAACTTGACTCACATAACTCAGAACATTCTGCTTCATGGCCAGGGGTTTGCATATCTAGCCCGGTTCTGGCAAACAGTACCAGAGATGTGAAAACACCCTCTATGTCAGTGAGCAGGAATCATGACTAAAAATGTTTTCCTACTACTGCCATTTCTTTTGAAATACTTAGACATCTTTTTATTTAACCTTAGGGGTACAGACTTTGTCCTATATAGATAAATCACATTTGAAACATTAGTTTTGGTTATCCATCTGGAAGGTTTCAGAGTTGCTGAGATTAGTACTGTTGATTACTGTTATGTGACGTACAAAGTTAAATGAGTCATTTGCCCAGCCTCTTTACCTTGTTTTCTGATTTGCAATGATACCAAGTAGTGTCCTTTATATATGTCTCTTTAGGGTCTGATCACCTTCGAGAGAAAGATGGACTATGGGCTGTGCTAGTTTGGCTTTCAATCCTAGCAGCTCGAAAGCAAAGCGTGGAGGAGATTGTCAGGGATCACTGGACAAAATTTGGCCGGCACTACTACTGCAGGTGAGAAAAATGAGGAAAAGGCACAGGAACTTAGGTGGTTGCTAGGATAATTCTGCTACAACCATGGCTTGTGTAGCTGTGCTCAGCTGCATTTAGGTGTGCATTTGCTATGTCCACAGAATGAAAATCTGCCACAGATTGCCACTGCTTTGTAGGCAGGTTTTTTTCTGATGAGTAAGTGGCAGCGGAAGTTATTTACTTACTGAAGGAGCAGCATGTATATGTCACTTCTAGTATATGAGTAATTGAATTTTCTGATATTGAGTGGCAGAAAGATTTTAATTATTGCTTATGGAATCTGTAGGCATAACTCATTACATGTGTTGAAAAAAAATCTAAATCCCAGCAAGATTTACTCCTGCATTTGTTTCTGTGTTGTTTCCGTGTGACAGTGCTTTAGCAAGAACTGGAACTATGCCTGCTTTCAATTCAGAAATTCTCCAAAGATCCGAACATTTACTCATTTTTATTAAGGTCTCAGAAGGGTGAATTCTAACTTTACATCTTAGCTTCTGCCTCTCTCTTCCTTTCAGAATAGGCTTAATCCAGAGGAGGTCACGTATCCGTAAGGTCTTTTGCACACCTCAAAACTTGTAGCAAAGTTTTTTCTATTTCACTTGGCTGTTGAGCACTGCGCTGATTGAGTCTTTAATCTCAGAAAGCTAGCTGTGTATTGATGATGTTTTCTGTGCTACTTTAGAAACTGCATTTCTAAATTGTTTCTCTTGACTCGGGGTCAGGTGGCCAGTGTAGAGCTGTGGTGCACACACATAATGGTCAGATTGCACAGGACTTTCATGTGTATGCTGGTTTAATTTGTGGTCAGTACTTCAGTGGTCCACCTCTGATTTTTGAAGTAAGCAGTAAATTGCAGATTGTGAGTATATTGAGTTCTGTGAAAGCAGAGCTATTTTCTTCACTGTAGGGGACTTACTTCTTGGTTCTACTTTTTTTATGTATGTGCAAGGTTTGATTATGAAGCACTGGAACCCAGAACAGCGTATTTCATAATGAGAGACCTGGAAGCTTTGATCACTGACAAATCGTTCAGCCATCAGCAGTTTGCTGTGGGTAACAGTATCTACAGTGTGGAAAGAACAGACAGCTTTGAGTACATAGATCCTGTGGATGGCACTGTGACCAAAAGACAGGTATGGCTGTAGTGACAGAGGACCAAAGTTTTGCGACTGTCATATTGTCTCTAACAGCATTGTTTCTAATGTTCAGCTGGCAAGCCTCTCCATTTATTTATAGGATGGTGTTTTCTTTGCTCTGATAGGTACTGCATTTCCTACTTAAGATAAGCTTGGTCTGGATAAGATAATCCACCTCTGGTTTAGCTTGCATTTGCTGTGCTTAACTGGTGGCAGTGATGTCACAGAGAATGTAGGAGGGGATGGAGCCCCTGTTGACAGCAAAGCACATTATAGGCAGGGTTCCCTTTCCTGAACAATGCAAAGTGTCATGTAGAAAGACAGTCTTTCCTTTTTCTATTTTCTATCTGAGATTTCCACCTGCTATACATTACAAAAAAAGTTAAAATTTTCTTGCTCTTGGTGACCTACAGGATTTGCTTAATTAAAGCACAGTATCTGTTGTAGCCAATAGCACACAGAAGACTTCAGTGGATTGTACCGTATGTGGGCACATTTGACTTTTTTAGCCCAAATGACTGGTTCTGCTTTCCTTCTGGTCTGTGTCTGTAATGAGATCCCTTAGCTATCAAGAACTGCAGTTTGAACTGAGCATTCAGGTTTTGAAATTCATGATGTGCTCAAAACTAGCCATGTACTTTTGCCAGGTGTAAATGTATGTTCAAACATCTTGAATATAAGCTATGACTCACATGAAAATGTATTCTGATTTTATGCAGTTTACTTTTATTGTCCTGGTTTCTCTGGTTTGTAAATTACTTGACCTGACCAGAGCCTAACAAATGATATTACAAGCCATTAAAACTGTTGTCATGCCATTCTGCTCAGTCTTTATAGTTTCCATTCATCATTGCATCCAGAAAATAGAAGCAGCCCACCTGTTAGTGAGCTACTTTCTTTGTGCACATTACTGCTGAAACAAGATATGAGGATATTGTCATATCCAAGTCCACTGGAAAATTATGGGCATGGCAAACTTGTGGCCCTTGTGCTTTTAAAAAACAGATTGTGAATTTTCAGTGCACTTTTCTTTCCCTTAATTTTCATCCAAAGCCCTTGTCCTAAATTGGAATATAATTGCTAATCATATCGCCATGTAACAGAAACAGAGAAACATGACTTGGCCTGTTTTCAGATGGACTCTGAAAGTGAGTCCATAAAACCAGAAAGCGTGTCTTTTCATAGGGAGAAGCATGTATTTATTGAGAGTACAGTTCAACCAGTTTGTCTTTTGGCATGGTCACATTCCTAGCCCCATGTGTCTGCAGCCTCAGTGATTCTCCAGGCACAATAAAATAAGAGAGGACATTGATCTGTGCAAATGAAACAAAAATGCTCTCATTTTCCTCAGGTAGCTTGCTCTTCATGTGAATGCAAATGCCTCTTTCTGACTGTCATGAGCTTCATTTTCCAGCTGTATTTTCAGGAACCTGTTCAAGTTTTGTTCCTCAGTAGACAGGGGAGAGAGCTTTATATTCAGTGTAACTGCAGTGTGTCTCATGAATGAGAAGCTGGCTATGTGATAATCAATCAATTAATGAACAGCACGTTTGGAAAACAAACATGGGAACAGCAAAATAGGGAGCAAACAACAAGCCGGCTGTAACTTCTAATTAATTCTGACTGTTGAAACCCATGAATATTGTTTATCACAGTGCAATAGTAAGGCATAAAATTAAATGAAATGTTTTGCTGTTCTCAAAGACTGTTTTCATTTCTGAAGTCCAGTTCTGCTACCCTTTGTGCACATAAGCACATAACAGCGCTGCTCCTGAGGACCCTGCAAGCCACAAACAGGGTCAGTTGCATTTTTATTTTTATATGAGATTTGAATTGGAAGGATGAGAAGTACTAATTACCCATTAAAATGGTTAACTTTGAGCTCTTTAGCGAAACATTCTTCCATTCTGAGATTCACAGAATAAAACTCTGGAGCTTTGTTGTTAAATGTTCATTATTGTTTTCTCACTTCTTCATTAGATTTGGGATGCAAAGGGCTCTACATGTAGTCTTGGGTTTTTTGTATTTCAGTTTGAGCAAGAGTCAGGAAACCAGCATTGGAAAAGTTGGAAAAAAGTTATTTCAGATAACTCTCCAGAGATAAGACAAAAAATGTTGTCTGTTCAGAATGATATTTGAATACTTTATCAGCAATAAAGTATTTCCTGTCAGAGTAGTGAGTGTGGCCTGCTGTGCCTAGGGTGACACTCAAGTGTTCGTAGAGGAGCAAATAAAAATTGTGATAATCACAGTATTTCGAAGTAGAAATATGGCCATTTTACGTGCTCCTAATGTATGTATATGTTTCTGTGTCTAATATATTGCTGCTAGGCTAGATTTCTACTGGTGTTTCTCCCTGCCATTATACTTTATTAATGTTTTTCAAAATCCTGAGATAGTTTGCTTTATGTTTGCCACTTGTTCATCCTAACTTACTATGGTAATTTATTATTATTTCTTTAATTATGAAATTGGTAGATGAAAAAAAAACCCAGTCACTGGAAACCAAACTACATAGTACAGTATGTAGTAGGTTTAGTTTTTTGAGTGCTTCATAGATACTAATTTATCAGTAGGCTGTTTAACTGGATTGTAATGGAAAAGAGAGAAATCCCTGTGAATCTGCATCTTCATCATGTCAGTTTCAAAGCCAGTGGGTTAACCATGGAACATAATTTTGTTTCATAGTTTCCACACAGCTCATTCATATCCATTAGCAGGCCGAATTTGCCTAAAATAAATATCTACAGATGTTCAGTGTGGGAGCTGTACTCAACCTTTTCATCATTGCTCCCAGAAAAAAAAAAATCTGTTCCTATAAGGAAACATTATTCTTGTTAGTGACAGATAGCGTGTCCTATGTTATTAAAACTGGAAGTTACTCTGTCCTGTGGGCTTTTCAGTGTGTTACTCTTCTTTCTTTTCCTGTTGTGTTGGTTTATAAGTTCTGCATATAAAATGTTATGTTTCACGGAGCTGACACCTTCTATATAATAAATAGCAAATACATGGCTTTAAATTAAAGGATCTTATGTCAGCTGAAAAAATACCCTAATGACAAACAGGAAGTAGGCTGTTTCACCAGCTTGGACTTTGCTGACCACCAAAGCCCAAAAATGTCGAAAAGGAAAACCTAAATGTTAGACTGGGCATTCTGTAACAAGCAGGGAAAACATGCTTGGGTTTGTCTTTACGCAAGGTACAGAGTCACAGGTTATTCTCCAGGCAATGCTTTTTCATATTTATTTGGTAACAGTGTTTTTGGCTTGGTTTCTCAACTTCAACAAATGTTTGTAACTCACAGCTTTTAGCTATAATTTCCACAAAAGAGTGAGGAATATAAAAATTTAATAGCTCTCATTAATTTCTGTGTCCTTCCTAAGTGAAAAGCTTTGCTAGGTCTTAAATTGTTGTTTTCAAGGGGGAGTCAAAAGTCAGGTTTTTTGCTGCTGGGCTGTCTGAAAAAGCAGTTAAGCTAAATCCACAGGTGCAAATATAGTGACTTTGACAGTCCAGCTCTAAAGGCCATTGTTTCCCTAGCATATGATTTCTCCCTGGCACTTAGGATTATTGTTTTTAAGCAGCACAACATAACAGTGTCTCTGTAATTCCCTTTTACAGAGTATTTTCGGCTGTATGGCAGGAATCCTAGTCTTACAGACAAATGTTAACTGTCACCATGCGTGCCTAAAAATCGATACTGTCAAGTGTGTGTGCCTGAGAAATGCAAAATGAATGAAATAATAAACTCAGAAATAGTACAGTGAGCTGTTTGAATGCTGGTTGTGCATCTATGTATGTTGCATAAACATCCCAAGTGTTATGAACTATAACATCAAACTGGCTACAGATGCTGTGGCTTGGTGGAGCATTTTTGCATCCTGAAGTTATGGGAAGGGTTATGGGGAGTGTTTATAAATCATTTTTATTCTTTTATTCTTCTGAAGATCATAATTTAATGTGGTGAGACTTTAGATGTGCTAAACCAAGTAACAACGTCTTATTGTTATGATTGCCAGATAAACATGAAGTATGTGGAAGAGTATTCAAGTGGTGTTGCTAGTCATGTCATTGTGGGAGTGTCTAGGCCTGTCAGGAGCATGTAAAATGCCTGTTTAGTCTTTGGAGAGGAAGACACTCACATGCTCTGGTGTTCATGCTTTCATTTTGTGCAGATATTTTAGACTCGCTTCCTTCTTTCTTAAAGCTGATTGATGTTAATGTTCCGTACTTTGAGCTGATGGTCCTGTGTTTGACAACCATTCGAAACAAACTGTACCCAGAACTGCAAAACTCTTCCCTTTATCCTCTTTCTTTTCACTGTAATGAAGTTAAGTGTAATGAACACTCAGCAAGAGACAACCCTCTGCTCACAGGATCAAATTGTAACAAGCTGCCTCTATAATTCTAGGCATCCAAGATGAAATCTTGATTCTGTTGAAATCAATGGCAAGACTCCCATCAGCATCGATCGAACCATCTCATTACAAAGTTGGCTTAATAGCAAATATTAGAAAAACAGGCTCTAAAGCTCAGTCTTCTGAATGTAAACCATTTCTGTCACTCACACTGTACATATTGAGATTACTAGATAAATTTATGTTACTGATAACATGTTAAAATTAATATACAATACCATACTAGCAGCTAAAAAAAATTTCATGATATCACCAAAGTTAGAGATGGAAAATACCTCTTAGGCCATCTAATCTAGCCCTTTATCCATGTGGGATATTTTCCTGCCTGTAGTGATAGGACAAGGAGTAATGGTTTTAAACTGAAAGACGGTAGATTTAGACTAGATGTAAGGAAGAGATATTTACAGTGAGCGTGGTGAAACAGTGGAACAGGTCGCCCAGAGAGGTGGTAGATGCTTCATCCCTGGAAACATTCAAGGTCAGGTTGGATAAGGCTCTGAGCAACCTGCTATAGCTAAAGATGTCCCTGCTTCTTTCAGGGGAGTTGGACCAGATGAGCATTAATGGTCCCTTCCAACCCAAACCATTTTATGATTCTGTGATTATCAACCAGACAATGCTTCACATGATGCTGAAGATGTTGTGGCAGCTACCTGAGGAAACAAAGGTTTCTACTAATACTTTAGAATATTAGAGCACTGTGTTGCTAACATCAGTGTCTTCTCAAGCTGATGATAGAACTGGAAGAATAAACTGCTTCTCTCTTAATTGTCTTCTCTAACTTTTTAATAGTTTACTGCCCCTTAAACGACAGTAGCAAGGGTCTCAGTTTACGCACTAGGCATTTGCCCACAGCAGGAAATAAAGTTCAGTGACATAGCAGAGGTGGTACTTAGCCTAAGGGCACCATTTACAGAAAGAGAACTAACTGCTTGTTAGTGCAGAATTGGAAGTGTTGAACACTACAACTGTTTAACTGTGCAATTTAGTCCTTTGCCTTAATGGCCTTCCTGTACAGATAGTCTGTTGACTGTGGATCCAAGTCTATGGTCTATGGTCTGTAGAAGAATGTGTTCATATGTACAGTACAAGAGCGGGGAGGAGGAAAGAAAAAAGAGGTGAAGATGGGAACAAAGAGCAGGTTCACAATTAATTAATAATAAATCCTTGTTATTCTACCCACAGTCTATGTGCATTAATTAGTGTACTTCAAATTAATTAACACTGTAAGTTAAGTTTCCCAAGTTGTTGAAATTCTTGTAATCAAACATTGATGCATGATCTATGAGGGGCAGCAAGTGATCTTGTCTTTTGTATTTGCTACTGACAACTGTTTTTTGATCCTCGGGTCCTGTAGCTGTGTCTTAGACGACTGATAATTGCTGATCTAATAACTTACTTCTCAGGACATTAATTTCTTGCTCTACCACACGGAACAAGAACAACTCAGCTGAAGAAAATAAAAACAGCAGTAAGAGAGTCCTTCTTATGAGGAGTGGGAAGGAGTACACAAGATGATTTCTAGTCTTTAGAGGGGGGAAGAAGCATGATAAGTAAGTTGTCCAAAGTTACAGGGGAAGAGGAATTGCATCCAAATTACTCTTCCTTCCACTTTTTGTTTTAAAGCAATGAACTGTGATTTGTAAAAAGATACTTCCACCTTATGTGTATACTGCTCCTTCTTCTCCCATAGGGGCTGCGGATTATTTTTTCAGATGCTTCCAGGCTCATCTTCAGAATGAGTGCTTCTAGCCATGTGAGAGCTACTCTCCGGATCTATGCAGAGAGTTATGAAAAGGATCCCAGCCAACAGAATAAAGAACCACAGGTAATGCAATAGCATTGTAGTAAGTCAGTAAGTAACTCGTTTCCTCTATAATAGCGATGGATACAGATTTTCATCTTTAATCAGAAGGAACACTCAGAACTTTGACACCTCTTCACTGTGTTTGTGGATGATTTTCCTAATCATGTGACTGTACGTGTTTTGAGGCAGAACCAGCAGTTGTAATATATGTTTGTGTAATATCTAACACAACAGGAATGTCCAAGGACTGAGATGCCTCGTGATCAATGCTGGGCAATAACTTTTAGTCTATTAAGAGGCACCATGCTAGTTTTAATTTTTCACTCATTTTTTGTAAGTGTTGTAAGCTGAATTAAAGAAAAATACTTTAAAAAGAGAATTATTTTTCAAACAGGTTATCTGAGGAGTGCTCAGTTATGGCATCCCAGGGATTCCACACGTTAAGAGTATGGTTAGGAAGTATGGATGCCAGAGTCTAAACATTGTAGGGATTCCTTGTAAGGGGAAGACTTGCAGCTGTCTGAGAATTGTCTCATATCATAACCAGACCCTTTCCTAAGAAGAATGAAGGTTGAGAGCAAGTTGCAGTGTAGTCCAGCAGACACCTAAAAAAATGCATAATACAAATCACATTTCGAACTCTCAGATTTTTCCCAGTAAAACACCTTCATGCTGTGATACACAACAAGACAGGACTAAGAGTGTTTCATGGAAGAAAAGATAATAATTTGGCTTATAGTAAATCAGAACCCTGTAGCTTGAAGCCCCATGTGGTTGTGTGTTCATGACTCAATGCAAATGCAAATTTCCCAAAACATAAAAGCTGTCTAATGCATTTGAGCCCTAGGTAAATGTTTGACACTGTTTTTTCACTAGATTACCACCATAAACTTAGCGAGTTTCTTCTTATGCTATTAAACAATTGTCTATCAATCATGAAAAGTGCTTCAGTTTTTCCAGAGATGTTGCAGACTCCATTCCTGCAGATACAATCTGTTAATTTTATTTATTTTTCCTTAAAAGTTACGGTTTGCATCCTCAGTAACTCCTTGCATAGAATACGTACAATGTTAAGCCTCTAACAGAGTAAAGGACCATTTTTAAGGCGATTTTATTGTTTTTCTGTGCATCCAGGTTTAGCCAGCTATCAGGGTCACACATATATTTTGACCAGGGAAGAACACAGCTACAACCCCATTCACACTTGCTACTGTATTGGGTTTACGTGGCAAGGTTTTGGTAGCAGGGGGACTGCAAGGGTGGCTTCTGTGACAAGACAGCAGAAACGGCCCCCATGTCAAACAGAGACACTTCCAGCTGTCTCCTAGATGGACCCACCACTGGCCAAAGCTGAACCAATCAGCGATGTCGGTAACCTCTCTGTGATAACGTATTTAAGCAGGAAGGGGGGAGTGAGAGTATGTGGGAGAAACAATGATGGAGACACCAAGGTCAGTGAAGAATGGAGGGGGAGTGATAGAGCAGGTTGTTAGGCACCTGGTGGGTAGCCAAGGTAAATTTTGTTACAGGACAAATTGTCAGTTGCAATTAAGCTGATCATTTTAAATATGTTCTTTGTGCTATGTAGCAAGGCATAGATGAAATTAAAATAACTCATGGTAAGAGACAGACTAAGAGTTCATTTTAGAGGTTTGCAGTGGACTTGCAGGGCAAGTGTAGGGTCCTGCACCTGGGGAGGAATAACCCCATCTACCAGTACAGGCTGGGGGTTGACCTGCTGGAGAGCTGCTCTGTGGAGAAGGACCTGGGAGTCCTGGTAGACAGCAAGTTAGCCATGAGCCAGCCATGTGCCCTTGTGGCCAAGAAGGCCAGTGGTATCCTGGGGTGCATTAAGAAGAGTGTGGCCAGCAGGTCGAGGGAGGTCATCCTCCCCCTCTACTCTGCCCTGGTGAGGCCAGATCTACAGTACTGTGTCCAGTTCTGGCCTCCCCCAGTTCAAGAGGTACAGGGAACTATTGGAGAGAGTCCAGCGGAGGGCTACTAAGATGGTTAGGGAGCTGCAGCATCTCTCCTATGAGGAAAGGCTCAGAGATCTGGGGGTCTTTAGCCTGGAGGAGAGAAGACTGAGAGGGGACCTTGTCAACGCTTATGAATATCTAAAGGGTGGATGTCGAGAGGGTGAGGTGAAACTCTTTTCAGGTGGTGCCCAGCAATGGGCCAAGGTGCAACAGGCACAAACTGGAGCACAGGCAGTTCTGCCTGAACGTGACAAAAAACTTCTTTACATTAAGGGTGACAGAGCACTGGAACAGGCTGCCCAGGGAGGTTGTAGAGTCTACATCTGTGGAGATATTCAAAACCCACCTGGATGCAGTCCTGTGTGACCTGCTCTAGGTGAACCTGTGTTAGCAGGGGGGTTGGACTAGATGATCTCTGTAGATCCCTTCGAACCCCTGCCATTCTGTGATTCTGTGTAACACAGCATGTTTGTGCTATTCAGGTAATTTAGCTTTTGATTCTGCCCAAAGCCATACAGTGAACAAATTTTAACTCAGCTGGAACTGGAAAGGAATGTAGAAAAAATAGTTTGTCTGACAGTAATTATAAAACATTTCATGCATCAAGGAAATAAGTTCATTAAACCTAATCTTCACTCCAAGCTCTTTGGATATACTAGAAAAACGCTAATCTGTTGCAAACGTAGATATTTCCATGCACCACTTAGTTTACATTTTTCTGCTGTCTTTTTCACCCTCTTTTATTGCTAGGGTCAGAGCTGCTGCCCTCCTGACTTTTATTGTAATTTTATTTGACTTAGGCAGGCAGACAGTGTACAAGAGTAGAGAGGTCAGTTTCCTTTTTTCCGTGGCAAGTGTACTGCTTCATGGTAATGAAGTGAACACCACCAGTGCTATGGATGTTACAGAGCCAGTCCAGTTTGTTCAGTGATGAACCAGGCTATCCACATTGCTTAGATCTTCTAGGATGGGTGGCTGTAGCATAAACCTTTCCAAAGACTGCTGTTTGTTTTGGAATGGAAGACCCAAGCAGGCACACTTTGCTGAGCTGTGTGTTGAGCCCTAATGGCAGAAGCCCTGCAGGAGGTACAGCTGTGGTGCCAGACTGTATGATCTTAGTGCAGAGCTCAGTTTGTAGTTGTTACAGTCCATTCTTTATGTCTCTTCCATCACTTTAGTATTGCTTTGTATATGTATTAGTTTGACTTTTAAAGTACATTACAGCCAAAGGAAAAGCTCCTTCTAGTAGATAAGGCCGTCAAAACATGTTGTGGGGGATTTGCACCTTTCTTCTGCCTTTCTTTTTCTTTCCCTTAGTTCATGTGATAGTGATTCTGTTGCCCAGGTTACAAAGGGCTAACAGCTGCTTTAGGCAGTCCCATGAAGCAAGGGAAAATGACATGGGAACAGGAAGAGGTAAGAAAGGAAGGAATTATTCCTCAATTAGTCTGCTTCCTTGTTCCAGGACTTAGAGCTCTCTCAGTTACCCTGACCTCTCTGAGCAACCTTCTGTGTAATGTTTAAATGATAAAAAGAGAAAGCCTGAGAATGCATTTAAGTGTTAGGCGAGAAAAGGATGTCTAGCCCATGCCTGAAACATCAAGGCTTATCATAATTTATACAATAATAATAGCAGCACCAAGCAATTACAGCTTTTGGTGACTTAAAAGCATTCTGCAAGCATGTTTTTCTAAAGGCTACCTTTATGAACTGGAAAACTACTTTAATTGATACTAGACTGATAGCTGAAGAGGTAGAATTTGCAGTTGACAGCAGTTTTTAGAGAGGGAAGATGCAGAGATGGAAAACACTTGGCACATCTATCTTTACAGAGCTCCAAAAGGTAAACTGTAGCCTTTCTTCAAAGACTTCATGCTATGCTAATCTGCTTGTTTATCTCTCTTTAATTTTGAGGCATTAACAATTGTTCCAGGGAGGTGAATTCTTCTGTAACGTGTAGTACTATGCCACCTCTGCTTAGAAATCTGTTGCAAGGTCTGAATGTTTGTTCTGAAATAATTACTGTCCGAAGTGTCATTTGGATTATTAGTAATTCAGGTGCCTAAATGCCTACGTAATGGTCAGACAAGGTTTAGCCAATTGATACTGGATCCTTGTCCCCAGTAGGACATTCTTTTAAGACTGGCTAATTTGGATGGCCTTCCATTACCTCTCCCTGTGATCCCAGAATACAGGGAGCAAATGGTTTAGTGTTTAAAGTTTTACAAATACTTGCATACATACAAAGAATTGACCTTGAGTTCCTAGTGTTCCACCCTGTACATTCACTTGGGTATACGTAAAGCTGAGAGACCCCAAGATAACACTGGTAGACATGATGCTGAATGCAAAATGCAGACCAGTGCAGTAAGAGAAGACAAAGCAAAAGTTTGAGAACTGTAAAAAAGAGTTATAGTTACTTGGTGTTCACTAAAATGTTTGGATCCTATTTGAGGATATGGCCATTCTCTGAGATTTTTTTTTGTTTAATTCTTCCCCGATAAATTCTGCAGAATTCTTTTCACTGGTGAGACTGATGGGGCAACTTGTTTTTGAGACTTGCATTGGACTGGGAAAAGTGAATTTGAGATCTGTGGAAAATGTCCATGCCTAGGCTGTGTGAAATTCACCCATGTTTGTTTTTCCTAACAAGACTGAAATTCAATGCAGGCTGGGGAGAGACTGAAGAAAAAAGATTCACAAGCTTTCCAGGCAAAGTTTGGACAGATGATTTTGCATTGGAACTGTGTGAATTTTTGATGAAAGTTGTCAAGTTTTAGCATAAATGCTACACATAGGATGTTTTCACGAGGTTTTTCCTGACGTACAGATGGCATTTGTCCACCTCTTCTGAGAAAAATATTTTCTAAAGCCAAACTTCGGACACATGCTGAGCTGTTAGCCTGTAAGCAGGTGCATTTCAGCCCTGCCTGAGCCTTTGATAAAATCGGATGCATCATGGGGCAAATTTTGTCTTGACTAGAAGAGAGGTGTACAGAAATTCCTTGCAAGATAACAGAGGGAGAAAAAGCTACATGAAACAAGCAGGAATGATACACCTCTGACAGCTCTGATACTGATTATTCCCAAGCAAAGGCCTTTTGATCTTTATTTGCCTTATGTTAGATATCTGCTTGTTTGATGTATTTCTTGGTATGAATATGGACAGAACTGAAATAGGACTTTCTCTAATGAGAAGCATGACTGTAACAAGCAGAATATTTATTAGTAACTGGAATGACCTGGCAAAAGAACAGCAGCTAAATCATTTATGTAAATGGGTGTCATAAACTCATTTGATTTTGTGTTTTATTCAAAGCATTGTGTAGAGTTTTATTTGGTTTTGTTTTCTTTGTTCAGAGTGCGGTTGTTTAAGAAAGCAGGGTTGAGTAAAGCTGGTTGGTAGGGTTGCTTTTTAAATTTTCCTATACTTTTTAGATTAAATAAGGAAGAGGTTTCTTAGGGGAGTGCCAGAAGGACTGTAGATGCTTTGGTCTTCTTTCAGTTCTCCTTAATCCGTGTTGCTGGAGGGAAGGAATGATATGGTCTAGACCTTCTAAATAGACACATTTTAATATTTACTTTTGCAGCATTTGCCCACAGATGCAAATTTGTGGTCTGCATATTCATCTTCTCTAAGCATGTTTGACTTCAGTGGACTTGTGTTCTGCTTCAGTGATTATTCAGTAGGTGGATATCTAAAAATGGGGAGCTTTTTGGACAGTAAAATGTCGGATTGCTCACACTTGTGCGTAAAACTAAGTTTGATCATAGATTCACATGACGCCAGTGGCATTCATGGTGTTATTCCATGACTCTGCTTGCCATTAGTTTATCTCCTCACTCTTTTGATTTAACCATCTGACCATTTGTGTAAGTAAAGCAAACACCTCATACTGTCAGAAACTGTTAGGTGGCTGAAACAGATTCAAAACATTAATTATATTAAGCTCATAAAAAAGATACCTATAAACTTCTGCTCTCCAGAAGCACTGTTTTGTTTGATTTGATTTTTAAACCTGACAGGTTTAAAGCCAGAAAGTGGGTTATTTGAAAGAGGCAGCAGGGGGAAGTCTTCGAGGGTCAGAAAATGACCTTACTAGTTTGCTAATCAAATGCATGATTCTCTGAAAATAAGGTTTTCACACAAAACTCAGCTCTGCCAGTTTATCTTTGCATATCATTTAATTAATTAACTGAGAGAAGATTCAGTTGCTGTTTGAAAAGTTGTATTTTCATAGAATCATAGAATTATAGAATGATTTGGGTTGGAAGGGACCTTAAAGCTCATCTAGTTCCAGCCCCCTGCCATGGGCCGGGACACCTTCCACCAGACCAAGTTGCTCAAAGCCCCATCCAGCCTGGCCTTGAACACTGCCAGGGAGGGGGCAGCCACAGCTTCTCTGGGCAACCTGTGCCAGTGCCTCTCCACCCTCACAGGAAAGAATTTTTTCCTAATAGCTAATCTAAATCTCCCCTCTTTCAGTTTGCAACTGTTACACCTTGTCCTATCACTACCCTCCCTGATAAAAGAATCCCTCCCCAACTTTTGTGTAGGCCCCCTTTGAGTACTGGAAGGCCGCTAGAAGGTCTCCCCGGAGCCTTCTCTTCTCCAGGCTGAACAACCCCAACTCTCTCAGCCTGTCCTCACAGGGGAGGTGCTCCAGCCCCATGATCATCTTCGTGACCCTCCTCTGGACCCGCTCGAGCAGGTCCATATCTTCTTTATGCTGGCCGCCCCAGAGCTGAGCTTTACTTGGTTTTCGTATGGTACTATCATGGTTGTAATCTGCGCTCTGGACAGTTTCATACATGTGGCCATTTAATGCGGTTTGTAGCCTGAAACTTGAGAGTTCATGCTGCTTCAGTTGGAATTTATCCTATTTAATACCATTACAGGTGGTATTACTCAAAACACACTTTTGCTATTTCTGTTAAGGTAGTAGTTACAGTACCTCCTGACACTAAGATTCACAGGTTAAGTGTGTATAGGAAGAAAAATCTACATAGCTTTCACTCATCAGAATAGAAATAATTCTACCTTTGTGATTTCTAGGTTTTGTACAGCAGATTTCACAGGAGCTCCACAATTCCTGTTACATAGAGACATTGTCAGTATAGCATATTTACTGGTTTCTCTTTTCTGCCTACCTTAGGTTTACGATTGTAATACTTCACAAAACATATGCTCAGCATGATACTTCATTATATCAAGCATGACAATATTGATACACTCTGTCAGTGTTTATTATTATTAAATTATTTACTGTTACATAATACAGTTAAAAGGGGGATTTATAAACACAAGATGTCTGTTGATATTTTTGCTTTATGTAATTTGATGTATTTCTTCCTCTTTAGGCTGTGCTGAGTCCTCTTATAGCAATCGCACTGAAAATATCTCAGATTCATGAGAGGACAGGGCGAAAGGGACCCACTGTCATCACCTGAAGCCATGGAAGATTGTTAAATCAGGGCCAAAAGAGGAACAGCAAGGAAGAGACCGGACCTTGCTGAAAGATGTTAGCCATTTGTGCCTTGTATGATTTAAAAAGTTTTTTTGGGGATAGAGGTAGGGTGGGAAGAAAAATTCAATATAATATTGAGCATATTCATTTGCATAGATCTCCATATACAATAGTGTATTGACTTCTTTGTTTTACCTGCAATATCTTAATTTCAGATAACAATATAACCAAAGAAAGAGGCCTTAACCTTCAAATGTTGTCAGCAATGTGACAGAAAGGAAAACTGCTTGGTTTTGGATGCTGTGATAAAAGTTGGGGAAATTTCAGTTAGGGAGAGAAGGAGAAGAGTTGCAAAGCAAAAACATGCTTGGTGAATATTGTGTGGGATCCTTGTCACCTGCTTGTGGGTTTACGAAGAGGTATGCAGAGCATGTCTGAGGCATAAGGGCTGTATACCAAGCTTTGCAAATGGTGTATTTCCTCACCTGACACCACTCCTCCTCTACTATCTCTCCTATTGCTCACAGATGCACGCTAGCAGCAGTGTTGTATACACATTTGCACATGCTCCAAAGAAGGGGTTATCTCATATTTTTTTTTAACCCCTGCTTTTAAAGCATTTCAGTGTGACTTGTGCCTTTAGATTTCCTGATTTTTTGACTCTTTGGGTTTTTTCCTCCAAAGGGAGGCATTTGTGCTATAAAAGCTGATTGTGTTCTTCCAGCAATATGTCGGGTGTGGAATCTGACAGTCTTTTCCAATATTCCTCGTGTCAGCAGATGGTACTGGTGCTTACTATGTTTGAAAGCTAATCACTGGAAGTTCGGCAATTTTTCGTGAAGTTGTTATGGAAGTTTTTTAAGGCTTTGGCATACTCACGCTCCAGTTACCACGAAGTGGTAAGTGAAGTGTGACGTGAAGAGGAAATGAAAACAAACACTAATGAGTTAGAAATACTTGTCTGATTCAGCAGCTGGATGCAGTTTCTCTTAGATTCTTTGTAACAGTGTGGATTGTGGAATAAAAATTTGGGGAGTGCAAAGGGAGAAGAGGCGTCTCGACATAGAACTGAGAAGGACATTGGGGATATGGACATCAGCATTTCTCTACTTGTGAGTGGATACTGCAATTCTAGCTACAATGCTGTACTCCAAAGAAGAACACAAACACTTTATGCATGTGACTTGTTTGAAAGCTTTGCTTCCTTGGGAACAGCGTGGTCACTTGTATCATTTGTCAAGGTGGCTTTGTGCAACTTGCCTTTTTGCAGTGTGTTTCAGTTCATTGTGGTTGTCAAATTTTAGTGCAATTTATATAATATTGCAGCAAAGGAAATTGTTTTGATTTCTTTCAACACTTCTGTCAAAAAATTGCTATGGCACTTAGTACACAATAAAAAGTAATGCTGTATTTCTGTCTTAATACGTAATTGTGGGCAAGACACACTGCACTTTCAAGCATCCTAATAAAACTGCCTTTAGTACAATTACATTATCTACTTAATTGACTCTAAACAAATGAGGTGCTAATGTTTTTACATAGTATCTACCTTACCATTAAATATTCCCATAAACCAAAAGAGATTTCAAGGCTTTAGTTCTTTTTATAAAGATTTTTTTTGGAGACCACCATGGCATTCTCACACAGTTTGGGCATCTACTTTTGAATGCAATAATATTCGTCTTTACAGAAACCTTGTTCATCTAATCTTCCTTTTTTCGTATAGATCAAACTCCTCTAGGTGCAGGATAGCAAGCTCCTAACTAGCAGATCACACATGGACAAGCATAGACATGCTCTGGGTTATGACACCTGATTCAGGTTACTGGGCTGCATGAAAGAACGTTCTGAAAGGCAGTCCAAGAACTTCTACAATCTCTTACATGTTCTCTGGCAATGAAGTAATTTTTGATCACATAGTGAACTAGCTAGTTATAGTACCAAATATCCCATTTGCCAAGCTTCTGGGACTGGGACTTGCACATTGAAAAGTAAGATGTGTTCAAGCCAGGTGTCTTTGAAGATGCAGTGGGAAGACTCGTGAGGAACAAATCAGAACTGTGAAGAAGAGTGCTTGTGCTTTTATCAGAAAGTCACTAGAGCATTAGCTGCAGGAAATGACAGTCTGCTTTCATGAAGGCAGTCTTTGTGAACAAAGGATATATTTTAAAATCTCTGTATGGACTTTGTCCTGGGCTTTTTGTATATAGTTTGTGTATAGTTTCGAATAGCTGTCAAACAGCAGACATCCAGAACTAGCCTAACCCCAAATCCACTCCCCTACCCTTTTTTTATGATGACTGATGGCATTGATAAAATGTAACAACTGTTTTTTTTCCGCCACTTATTTGCTTTTCTCTGCAAGAAGATGAATAAATCTTTGTAAGGCTGAAGCATAGTGTATATCTTTATAGCTGATGCATTTGGGGAAGGACTGTAGCCATAATCTCATAAAATGTGCTGTATTTCCTGAAGTCTTTTGCTTATTAATGTGAGAAATGAATGCTTGGAAAAGAGCAACATATATGAACTTACACAAAGATTGGCAAAGCTTCCAAAATCCGACAATACATCTAGCAGAGGGAAAACTATTATTAATACTGTTTGTCTTACCAGTGTCTAGGCACTGTGACAGAGACACGTGGCTACTGTTGGATTAGCAGTTTTATCAAGCCTGGAAATTACAGGATTCCTATGCTGTTCAGCTATGATTGTACTAACGTTTACTTGGGCAGTACTGTTTCTCAAAACCTCTGATTTTTCTGTACCCAGCGACACAAAGACATACTGCCAGCACACTGGAGGAAAATGAGAAAGAGAAATTCAGAGACACCAGTAAGAAAGATAACAATTTCAAGGTGCATTAGCAGAGGGCTGACCAAGACAGGGCTTGGTGGGTCCCAGGAACAGGGAAA